ATATTCAAATCATAATAAATGAACTCCAATCATTTCTATAAATATCTTAATTAATTAGGTTGCAAAGGTTGTACAAATACACAAGGTTGTAAAAGAAATATACCCTATATATCTATATATATATATATATAGATATATATATATATATCTATATATATATATATATAGATATATATATATATATATATAGGGGGAAGATCAAATAATTTTAGGGTGTTATCATGGATATTATCATCTTCATTATTTTAATTTTAGATGAAATACATGAAACAACTTCATTAAAATTTCATTAAATATTATATGAAGCAATTTCATAACCATATATGAAACAAATTCATCAAAAAAAATATTATATGAAACAACTTCACAAGATTAAACAATTTCATGAAAAAAATTTATAAGATTAAACAATGAAATCGACGTATGAGGGTGGTTTGTACGGTTTTTACAAATAAGGGTGGTTTTCATTTGATCGCTCATCTCTCTCTCTCTATATATATATATATCATTAAACTTATTATTTAATAACCTGATATAACGATTTAAATATAAAAAAACAGGGTTTGTATTCGTTTTCCATTTTCGTTTAATTGCTTGAACTTTTATTGTATCAAGTTTTCATGTCATGTAAGTAATCAAGTACTGAGGGGTTGTTTACCTAAATGCTTACTCGGTAAGTGTTTACCGTTAAGAGTCAACATTAAAATTTATTTTATTGGATAAGATTGTAGTACATCAAAATGTATTTTATGCAACAATTTACCTAGTAAACGCTTACCTGGGTAAGAGGCGTCACCCTCACTTACCGGGCAAGACTCTCCATCCTTATCGTCGTTCTTACCGGGTAAGATTCTTGGCCCTTGCCATATTCAACCGGTAAGAGAAGTTACCTGGTAAGTACTTACCGGATAAGCGTTTAGTAAACAACCCCTAAGTTTCATGAATATTTAAATATATGTTACTAGGTCACTTTAAATGAACCCTAGGTCACTTTAAATGAACCCTCCTACAACTTTCTTCTCATGCATGTCAAAATCAAATTGCTTTCTTATAACAACAATAACAATAATAACAGAAGCAGTATCACTAGCCTTCTTAACAAGTTTTGAGCTATTTTTCCTATTAAGGTATTTTCGGTGGAAGTATATATCATGGACGACTATATGTATTATAGTCGTTTGATCAGTTCACATGGTTTCCTAATTTTTAATATATGTTTTGATCACTCAGTTAGCACTATCGATTACGTTTCGCTATGTTTTGAATGTGATTTGTTTTTGCAGGATGTTCATTCAGACAGTACAACGTATACAAATGGTAAGAAAGTAATGCTTATGGATCATCTATAGAAGCAAAGACGAATCATCCTCAAATATGTTTGTATTTGTTGGTCTTGTAATCTAAGTGGAAGGCTTGATTTGCATATAAGCGATTTTCTAAACTGTATATCGTGTTTTTCATGTTGAATCAGTCAAATTTAATACGGTTTTACGAGTATTAATGTAAGGGTTATAACATAATGTGTCAATATTGTATCGCATTATTCTTACATCGAAATTTTATTTTATCCTTCAGATGATGTAATTACCCTTTTGATATCATTTTTATGTTTTCTATTTTATTTTGTAATATTGATTTTCATTTCTTTTCATATACAGTAAATAAGACCCGTAATGACATGTACACTTTGATCCATATGTAAATAGGATATGAAAATATAGATGTTAAATGAACAAGATTTATATGGGCAAGAAGTACGCTAACAATAAGCTTGATTATTGACCTTTACTACAAAGGAATAGAAAGAAAAGGTAGAGAAATGGGAGAAAAGTAACAAATATTGCCTTCTTAAAACTCTTTTAGAAGATAAATGAAAGAAAAAAAAATTGATAAGTTTCCCCCAAAATATAGGAGAAAAGAGAAATAAATGATAAGTTTCATTTTTAAACGACTCTAGTGATCTGTACCGTCTGTTGTGCGGTATTTAGAAAAAATACATGTTTTTGGTAGTAACATAAGTTAAAAAATAAATCGATACAGCCCACATCGTAAGATTTATAGTTTTTGAATAGTATAAGGTTACTCATCAACAATACAATAATCCACTCCCTCCAACACACATGTACATGAATCTATTCATAAATCATGTAAATTAATATAAAGGTGCATTGTCCACTACTTTCTTGATTATTGTTAGAAGAGTACATAATTTTAAACTTTGAATTAGCAACCCTATAATCTCCAGAATTCGCAACCACCTTGAAAATTTTCATGGTATACACTAAACCCTCCTTCAACAAATGCTTCAACTTTGACACCAAATTTTTCCAGGTTATTATAGCTATTAGGGTTCTCTGAAAATAAGATGAAAAATAAAGTAAGCCGGTAATAGAGCTCTTTTATAAAATGTTGTAAATTTAAACTTGGGTGCACACATTGATCCAAATTATGAAATGGGCATATCGTTTCATTAATAAGGACCGTATCCAACTTGATTAGTTCTCCACCTTTTCTAGTTCAAAAAGACTCACAATCGGCAAACTCTTACCTTAACCGTGCAACATTCATTATTTTCTCCCAAGTCTTGTATAGTCCATTAAGGACCAAGAATATAGACGACATGATAGTTCTATTTTTATGTCTTAAAAGTAGAACTAAAAGCCAATTACTTTATCAATTTGTGACTAAAATACATCTCCATTGTTCTATTTTGTCAAGCCCAGGCCCAAAAAAAAAAAGCAGCCCAAGTTTGGACTTCTTTCCCTTGCAAGTAGTGGACAAAAGAATGGGAACGAGTGGGAGGAGATGGGCGACCTTCTTGGCGGCTAAAGCCACCGGAAAAGCCGTTTGAGACACTGTTTTTGAGTTTAATCCAGTCGTTCACACAGCTCCATATGCGCATAAAACTGCTGGAGAACTCGCCCCATCTATTGTTTTGATTTGGAAACTCGGGCTTACTACGCAACTAAAGTCACACCTAGGGCCGTCGGTGATGCTTTCTTCTTAGAGACCTATTGATCCTCTATCTCATTGATTTGATGATAATCCCTTTTACTAATATAACGCCCCAACCCACACATTGCATGTAACATATATTTCATACAAAAGAAGTACATGATATCATTCAATTCAGGTCCCTTAGTACAAGAATCTAACATGACCAGATACAAGGTCCAAAAATTTCGAAATACATTTCTTGTACTAATTAATCAAAACAGATCTTCAAGCAGAAGCGCATAAAGGAACATATTAAACTTTTCCCTTCCCCTTACTATCCGAACCTCCTGCAACACATAATTTAAATCACAAAACGAGGGTTAGACCGAAAGGTCTAGTGAGATACCCTATCTATGTTATTGCAGGGTGAAAATCACCAAAACCTTTAGGGAAAATAACATTTCATATATATGTAACAAATATATGAATAAATTGGAATATAATACCAAATTTTTTCCATTATCAAGCAAAGCATTCCGCTTATTCAAATCTCAAAACTCTGAACCAATCAGGTTCCACATAATGCCACTTTTAAATCTTTTCTTAA